GTCCTGTGGCAATTCTAGGCACATCCACGTATAATAAGGTCCAGGTGAAGTCGGGGACCACCTTTCCCTTGTGTCTCTCTCTCTTTTTTTTCTTAGCAGACTTTATGTTTCAGAGTGGTTTTAGGTTCACAGCAGAACTGAGCAGAAGGGACACAGATATCCCGTGTACATCCTGCCCCCACAGTCATGGCCTCCGCCACTATCAACACCCCCACCGGAGCCTTGTGTCTCTTTTTTAAAGTGAGAAAAATCTTTCCAAAAGCCCCCCACCCCTAAACAAAAGATTTTCTTTTATTTCTTATGCCCTTTTCTAAAGCAATCATTAGGACACAAGATGAAAGAGATTTCTATTACTGGTTTAGGGGTTAAAGGATGTTGGGAAGTCGTCTCCATAATTATTATCACAATATCTCCACTGAACTCTTTGTTCCTTAGAGCCGACGCCTTTTTTCATCCCTTTACTGTCATTTTGGTTGGGTTTTGGAAGGGAGAAAAGGTAAATGTGTGTGATCCATCTGCCCTGTTTAACAAGAAGTTTTTCCATTACCACATTATTCACTATAGCCCAGATACGGAAACAACCTAAGTGTTCGTTGAGGAATGAGTGGATAAGAAAATGTGGTCTATATACACAGCGGAGCATTACTAACCATAAAAAAGAAGGAAATCCTGCGTTTTCAACAACATAGGTGAACGTTGAGAGACTTATGCTAAGTGAAATAAGTCAGACAGAGAAAGGCAAAGACTATATGATTATAGGTAGAGTCTAAAAAAGTCAAACTCATAGAAACAGAGAGTAGAATGCTGGTTGCCAGGAGCTGAGGGGTGGGGGAAATGGGGAGATGTTGGACAGTTTTCAGTTATAGAATGAATAAGTTCTAGGGATCTACTATACAGCATGGTGACTATAGTTAACAATACTGTATTGTATATTTGGAATTTGCTAAGAAAATAGCTCGTAAGTATTCTCACAACAAAAAATGACCAGGTGTGGTGGTTCACACCTATAATCCCAGCACTTTGGGAGAGTCCAAAAAAAAAAAAGTGGTAACTATGTGAGGTATGGATATGTTAACTAACATGATTCTGGTAATTATTTCACAATATATACATATATCAAATCATCACTTGAATGCTTTAAATATATGCCATTTTATGTATATATTTTATAGAGTGTAATATACCTCAGTAATAGTAATAAAGTATAATAATAACGTGATA